CTATGTGGTATGTTACCTCACAATCTCTATTCATTAATCATATCTGGAGAGTATTGTGAAGAGAATGAAGAAAATTAAGTTGATCTGCTGGAAAGTGGCACGAGACTGGGCACCGAGGTGAAGGTGTCATTGCTGCGATTGATCTCGAACATGTGTCAGCACAAAGGCACCACCCTTCCGATCGTCACCAACTCACAGCTCATCGATCGTATCGTCTTCTCATTAATCAGCGACAACGATTCCATCGATCAAAACTCTCACAAACTACAAAAATATTCCCTAAAAGCCATCCTCATGATCACCTCGCTCAACATTTCATTCGCTAAAGTTAGTCGCATTCAATTTATTTTATAACTCATCTCATTTATTCACCGAACAAACCAGTCTATGCCATATTCCACATGTCTACATCCCAACTGTCACCCATGCAACCCTCGTTCAAACCGACAAAACTCACTTTTTCCATACTATATGTTTCCAACTTCCTCACTCCAGCAACACCCAACTTGAAATCATACAGTTCAGTGCAAATTTTGTCGTCGTCGAATAACAACGTTTCAATAAGCTTTATTCAAGCACAAAAAAGACCATATATAAACAATATCAAACTTAAAATTTCAAAACGAATGTGATGTATATCACAACAATAAAATTCATAAACATACCCAATCCACCAAATAAAAACTGAAAAAACATTAAGTGAAAACGTTAACCGATAATAAAATAATTGACACAAAAATCACATTAAAATGATCACCGATCAATTCCCCATCGCTATCCGACTGCAAAAGCTTCACACTTCTCCTAACAACCATTTCACGTCATTCATCCTTTGCTCAAAGACAATATTCGAATTGAATCAGTTTCTTAATAACCATCTTTCATATTCATATTAATGATAACAATAACGAAAAAGAACAGGGTACGATATTACGATAGAAATAGAAATAATAGCGAAATAAAGAGCGGATCGTCTATTGTTTCGTTGGTTGGAATACATTCGGTGTTTGTTTCACTTGAGGATTGCAGTGCTGCGGTAGAGGTTTTTCGTGATACGCACGGATCGCTTCAGACGGATAGTCTTTATTCGTCTTAAATTTCATTTGTTATCTCTTTAGAGCACATCATTTCATGTATCAGCCAGTTCTCTTCTACAACTAGTAATTGCGAGTCTTGCGAATGCATATCAGGCACGAGGGCAGAGCTAATTTGCATTTGCACTTTGTTATTGTGATTATTATCGAGTATTAACAATAATATTTACGCAACGAAATCAAAGAACACCTACTTGAGCTGCCAGACCGGTGTGTGCCAAAACATTTTTTGCCTCAACGACCTCAGCACTCTCATTATCGTTATCACTGGATGCTGCCTTATCAGCAGCTGCAGCAGCAGCGTTACTATTATTTACGGTTGCGGCTGCAGTCTTATCAGACTCGGAAACGCGTGCCTTTCTCGCGATCCGCACTCCACCGCCGATCTTTTCGGCTGGCAGATGACCACCTTTCAGATTCGAATTCGCCTCATTATCCATATTTACTGACCACTCACTAAATAATATGCGTTATTCCTCGCTCAACGACCTCCTGTTCAATTAGCAAATGCGCTCTACACTACTCTTCCTCTAGGCTCTGCTCAGCACACTAATCCAAGATTATTCTATGATAGCAAGANTAATCCAAAACTGCAATATAACTTCTATCACGTCCTCAGTCACGACTCTAATCTAATTATTTACCTTCTGTCAAAAATCCGATTCAATAACTAGCATAATCAATAAGGAACATATCCCGATAACATAAAATCTGAAACAAAAACAACACCAGCTGTATCTCTAGTACAGCTAATATCGAACATTCGTTCGGTTCGCATTAGAGGATCTGATCAGTTCGTTCGTGGGGGTGTGATGACACTTCGCCAAATACATGATGACAATCCGCCAAATAATGGGGTTGTTAATTCGCCAAATAGCAAAATTGATAGGAAACGGGAGTTTATCGCTCAGTCAAGGAGAATCAATCATCCGAGCAATTTATACAATATTTTATAGCGCAGATCGAGGAGAATAGAAGAACATGCGATATGCGGGGGACAGCAGTACAATTGTATTTGCGATTTCTATTTGGCTTAAAGTGAAAAAATTGAAAAATAATTCAGATTATCATTCATCTGACAGCAAAAAATAGCTGAGATATGCACAGTCGAGATTGAATATTTCACAAGAAATGAAAGTCTGTATTGAGAGTCTGTCTGAAAAAAGACGTATATCCTCTCACAACCTTTCTCCACTCTCCAGAGCACCTTTCATATATTTCCCTTCGCTACCTGTTAATACTGAATTCACATTCCTAATATACCTCACATCAATATCCCTATCAATATCAATATCTAATCGCAATGCCAATAGATCATGAAATCTTCACTGATCCATATCAAATTACCAATTAACAACTCATTATCGTAACAATATAAAGTAATATCAACTAATTTATAACAATAGATAAAATCACAGTGATGTACCTATGCTGGTACACGTGTCATCTCAGTGAATTTGTTAAGGAGAGATGATAGCGAAAGTTTTTTTGATGGTTTCTTGCAAAGAATTTTGTTCTTATTTAATTTGAATTAATCTTAACTCACCTCATGAATCAGGATATAATAACAATTCAAAAAGCAATACCTAACAATAAATAATATTCGCACGAAGCATTAAACGCAACTAAAAGTTATTTAAACGCAAGATTCAATGAACCAATAAATGAATAATATTATGAAAAAAGTTGCTGTGAAATATGACTAATAATATGAATGAACGATTTTAGGCGATATTATCATCGAATGGATGCTATTATTTGGGTGAATTACTCAAACGAGAATATTCAAAAGATAATTTGAATCAATTCATAATCAACCAAATATTCACAACGATAACAAACACAATGCGATCGTCAGTCAAAATCACCGGTAGACAGTTGGCGTCAAGGTTATATTCATTTATAATTTATTGCAAATGATATTGCACATAATCGGATCGTAATACATCATAATAATAATAATAAATACAGTGGGTGTGCATCAAGGCTGCTGTCAATATTTCTGGATGCAAATGAAAAGAAAGAAAGGAAAAGAATCGTTCTGGAGTTGTGTCAGATGTCATTTGAGTTACGAGAGCAGTTCAAGAATGAGGATGTGATCGAGAGGTTGATGGAGCTGGGTGAGGGGCTGACTGAGGATATGGTCAAGTTGCTGTCTTCATACACACTCGTTCGTTATTATGCATTCACTGCGTGCTGATGCTTGTCATTCGATAAACTCTTTAAAGGATGTATACGGTCGTACAGCATTGATGGAGAAGGGTGCTCTCGATATCCTCATCAACAAATTCAGTCAGTCTGATTCACGACAACAAAGGGCCGTTATCGTGAATGCGTTTAGGTTATCATACATTATTCATATATCATACATACATCATATCATACATTATGGAAACGTGTGAATATTTCTAATCGCTTATTCGGTAACAATTCAGGCATTTCATCTACTGTTCAGCGGGATCGGCGTATTTGTGTCAAAGTAAAGTATACGTGGATACAGTCGTCAGACATATTATCGAATACCTGGATAAATATAAACATCAGTGTGATCAGCACGTAATCACTTTTTAAATTGATAACTGGAATGAATCAGTTAATGAGTGGATGCTTTCAGCAACCCGAATCAATAGATGCTTACCACAAGTATGCGTCGTTATCCACTCAGTTCGAGTCAATATCACCTGCACCCACACTCAACAGAACGGTACGTTATCATCTCGGTCGGATGATTCACTTTTCAACATTCCCACCGAATTCACATTTCGACATTCGGATGTCATCTCT